AGAAGGTCCGACATCTGCACACCAAAGCGGTTCAGACTGTATGCACCGGGCTTGGGGCTGACCTCACAGTCCCTGTTAACCCTGAAGCTAAGCTGCCCGGCGTCATAAAGCAAGAAAGCACTCGACTTCCTGGCAGAGAACCTGTCGACAACTGTCCACCTTACATCCAAGCGCTCAAAATGGGCCGCACACCTTTCCTCTCGCATCAGGACCACTACATCCGCAGCTCCTGCCTCCAGACCGGTACCAGATATGGACGCTTTATTCACGAGGAGAAGCAGCCCAACGGAGGCGGATCTGTGCTGCACGCTTACGCTGACGAGTTGGCGTGCCTCAGTCCAGCTGAGATGGATGGATTCGCCCGGGAGTTCCTGGAGCTGACCTTTGCCGAGAAGCCCAAAGGTGCAGCGGTCTACGCCTTGACTGTGATCCATGGCGCAGCTTCGTACCTCCCTGACTTCTTGGACTACTTTGCCTTCAACTTCCCCAACACACCTGTCAAAATGGAAATACTGGGCAAGAAAGACATTGAGACCACCACTATAAGCAACTTCCATTCTCAGGTACGTAGAGGAGGGGGGAAGGGGAGGCAATGTACTTGATACAGCATGGCTTCAATTTAAACAACCCAACAGTCCTAGTGCTCAGTAGGCTGTGCTGTTGTGAATTCTCTGACACATATACTGGAGAAGCACCATAAAAAAGCCTCAGGGTGTCCACAGATCTTTAAAAAGTCTTTAATTTATGCATGTAAAATCAAAGCCTCAAAATGTCTTAAATTGGTTTTTATAAAGTTGGTCTTCAATATGCGAATCACAGGTCTTAAATTTTGTCTTGACAGGACTAATCACTCGTACGGCAGAGTGTTAGAGCCATACTAAGAAAAACATTTTAAAGATTATAAGGAAAAAGTCATAATATTACGAGAATAAAGTCAAAATAACACAAGAATAAAGTTGTAATAACATAATAAAGTCATCTTACGAGAATAAATTTGAGACTAAAGTCAATGTAATACTAACATAATGTGATATTACCAGAATAAAGTCGTAATGTTGTGACTTTATTCTCATAATTTTATTCATTCTTTTATTTTTCTTGCCGTTACTGTAATACTCCATAGTTTGAACATTTCTTTCGACATTTAGGTATTAAATTTCATTCACAATGTTCTTAAAAAGGTCTTGAAAAGTCTTAAATTTGAAACCGTCAAAAACCTGGTTTTGAGCTCAGTCTGCTTGTCCTTCACCACAATGGTGACAAAAAGACCCGCAACTTGAAAAACTAGAATTCTGGCAACTTTTATTCGGAA